TCTGATCCTCTTTGTTTTAAATGAGTTCATTAAGGTTGAAATAAAGTTCAAGATGCACTTGTATATATTCAAGTCATGGTTCAATACATCCTTTTGGTTGTATAATATGTGTTATCCTAAATGTTACCGTAGCGTTAGCACGGGCAATATACTAGTGACTTCTTAATAAGTGAGATGTGAGCTTATTTTGGGACGGAGGGGGTATTTATATTGTCCCACTTACTCAAACTTGAAAGAGGTAATGTTTGGGCCCAGTGTCTTCGATGCTAAGACGTCACCTCACTAACACGACTCCCTGATGCTTCAGCTCGTTCTTTGCTCATAATCGTATTCAGTGTCCAAACATGTCCCTGACGACCAAGAACAATTGCAGCACAAGTGGATGAACATATCATTTTTAATCTTCAAGCGCCGCTGACTAAAATTTTTAACGAGGCATCGACTATTACAGTGTTGAAAATGATGCCTAGACATTCTCTCTCCTAATGATTTTTCTTATGTCTTCCCAGTGTTGCCCAAGCCAGCCATCTCTTCTACTTTTAGCCAGAGTTTGTAATGTGTGAGAGATCCTGCAGATGAGTGATTGAAACCACAGTCTGTGTGTGAGATGTGACCTTGTTGATCTTAGCAATAAAGAAGTCATGTCCTCTAAATCTCTTGTCCAAGATCTTGCTTGAGTATCTTTTGTTTGAATCAATATGGTTTTTCACCTTCCCAAACCTATCTCTTTGAGTTGTCATGATTTCTTTGAATCTAATGTTTTGAGAGCAATTGGGAAGGATGGATACGTGCTAGGACCCATAGGGAACATGTCTACCAACCAGATGAGGTAGTTTCCTCATGAGCACAATGTTTGGGGATTTTGATGAAAGTTGAGAAAACCTCGAACCGAAAGATGTTTTTTCTTTATTCTTGGAGTTCCTTTGATCTTTTAGAGTTGAAACATCCCAAGGAACATCTCCACAAAATTTGAGCTCAAGACTTCACTAGAATGGTTTTCACCTTTTTGGATTTTGGTTTTCGGCTGCTGAAACTGCCAAAGTGTAGGTCATGCTAACTTTAGCATCCCGGCTAGGCCGGGTTTCCCTGGGCCAAGGACCTCTCCGAGGTGACTTTGAGTTCCGAGTGTCCGTTCTTCGATCCGCTTCTTCCGTGGGTTTTTCGAGGTACCAAGGAATGTTTTGAAATCATCAAGTCACTGGTTGGCTTGTGTGATTTCATCTTGAGCACTTTCTTCAGTTGAGTGGTGCTTACGAGTTTTGTGTTTGCGCTTTGGTGCCTTTTGCTCCGGTTCTTGTTCTTTCGCTTTGGAGTGTGTCCTGCCATGCTCTCTGATTACCCCGAAGGGCATCTAGTCACTAGTTAACTCGACGGCATCCCACTTGTGGGTTTTGGTGTTTTTGGTGGGTTGTTTGGGACTACGGTCATTTCGGATGAAATTTTGGATCTCGGTCCTTCAAGTTATCCTAACAAGTTAAACTACTTTTAAATTTGATCAAGTTCGTAGAAAAGAGCACCAATATTTATGAGACCAAATTAGTATCATAAGATATATTATGATACTATGACTTTCTATAAAGTTGGTTAAACTTAAAATACTATGACATTAGGATATTTTAGGATTTAATTTATTTTTGAATGAATTTCGTCCGTTGCATCACATGCTGTGACTTCCATTTCTTACCTGACATTGACTTAGTTCTTGTATTTGCATAGATGTGACGACTGCGTCGACAATCGAGGTCTTGCATATATAAATATTACAAATATTGAATCCCGAGGTATCTACGTATGCTTAGACGGTCAAGCAATACAGGGGATTAGATAGATGCTCCCTGCCGATTACGACATAGTCAATCAGCAAACAGTGCACTACTGCAGCTCAACGATATAAATGCAAGTGTGGTTGATGATCAATAATAGTATAATTGGTAGTTAACTAGTCCAAATACGAGAGTAGACCTTTGATCATTAATGGCATTGTAAGAAGTTAGGAGGTCCCTTTGGTTTCGGTCAGGCTTCATATCCAATTTTCGTGCAAGTAAAGTTGACAAACGGAGAGTTCACTGTATAGCACCTAGGGCAAAACAAAAACAGCTGCATTCTACTTCCACTGCTGCACGACCGACAAAAGAAAAACCCCTTCAACTCGCTCAAATCTGAAAGCTGAGTGAAACATGTTTATATCTATTGAATCGTAAAAGAAGCTATGGCTACACATTTCAGCAAAGGCATGGCGTATTGCATCAAATCTGACAACGGCAAAACCACACGCTAAGGACAGCTTCAAACAGTTTCTTAATAGCTAGCTCATAGAATATTTTATCCGATAAGAAGAGCGGAACGATAAGGTAGCTCTTCACGAAGAACTAAGCTCACACATTTTTCCTATGGTTCATGTGTCTATGTTTACACATTTTTCTATACTAACATATTAAGTTATACTCTATTCTTATCTTTTTTTTATGTCCATATAAACTAGCAAGTTAACTCTATTGTTTAAGGTGCCCTAACACGTTAAAACCGCTTGTTGGCCATTCGTAGCCGGCCACGACCATTGGCTAGGGCAGGCATGGCCATGGTGACCAAACCACAGCCAGGGGTTGGCCACTGCCTACCAAACGCTGACGTCTCTCAAAGAAGGATGGTAAAGGTGTACACCGCTACAGAAACCATTTTTAGAGGTGTTGCCCTTTTAGTTTAGAGGCGGCTCTATCAAGAACTACCTCTAAAAATGGTTTCTGAACTAGCCCGCCTCTAGAAATCGGCAGCAGCTCCTCCGAATCCAGCGAGGAGGAGCCCAGATCCTGCGAGGAAGAGCCCGGATCCGGCGGTGCTCGTGCAGCGGCGGCAGATCCGACGAGGACGAGCCCGGATCTAGCGAGGAGGAGCTCGGATCCGCGGTGCTCGTGCGGCGGCGGCGGATCCAGCGAGGACGAGCTCGGATCCGACGGTGCTCGTGCAGCGGCAGCGGAATCTGGTGAGCGGTGCGGGGCGCTCTGTCAGGCGCTCCGGTGAGCAGAGCGGCAGCCCATGGATGGGCTCGGTGGGCCCGTAGGTGGGCTCGCTGGACTTGTCCATGGGTTTCATTTTTTTTATTTTTTTATTTGATTAACCAAGGCGGGCAGGGCAACCACCTTGGTTAAGGCCACGGTTAACCGTGACCTTTCGTCCGAGGCGGTTGCAAAAACCACCTCGGTTAACCCTTTTTTGCTCGCCACGGTTAACATTTATGTAGTAGTGTCATTTTTTAAAATTTTTAAATGACCTCGGATGGAGAAACGACCTAACCCAAAGCTGTAGTAATCGAGAGATCTGCAAGTTTGTAGTTCACTACCTTTTCATTTTAAATTAATTAGGACCTGAAAATTCTTACAATTTTTAAAAATTTTGAAATTCATTGTTTTTAATTTTTTCAAATGGCCTTGGAGAAATAACCTGAACAGATCTACAACTTTGTAGTTCAAATTTTTTTATTTGAATGTATTTTGTGTCTTAAATATTTATTACAATATTATAAAATGAATATAAAAGGATTATATCAACCACTTAATTAGTTACAAGTGACTCTGAGGCATAGTTGTAAGGATGCAAAGTATTTCACGCGAATATCACAGCCGGCAATTTTTGCTGTTGAAGTGGCGCCAAAAGCGTCAATTGGGAAGGCCGATCCTCAGTGAAAATCTGAGGAGCCGATCAGAGTTTTGTGCTACGCAGATAGTTTGGGAACACTGATTAGAATTGTTGGTGCTCATTTTTTTTTATTAATCTTGACCATAAATTGTTTTTGGTGATTGTTGGAGATGCTCTAACCACTCCAATGACACTAATCCATATTGTTGCAAAAAATCATCATTTTCCAGTATAATTCTATACAATCCAAGGTCCACTTAGTGTGGCTACAAATCCATATTAGTGGTCGATAGGCCAAGAATCGGTAGTGGCATCAGTATCACTACCAATTTCTGGCTTAAACCGCTAATGATGCCTTATAGCGCTATCATGCTAGTTTGTGACACCAATTTGTAGTGAAAGCTAGTCTCAACAACTCTACTGGTGGATGGCTCGAGCAGGTCATCAATAGTGTCGGTTGCTGGCTCTGACTAGTAGTGAAAAACCTGAACTTAATAATCTAGAGGATTCAACTTCTAATTTTGGGGACACGTTGTAGTGAACCTCATTGTAGGTTTGGAGATTAATTAGATCAAGATCTTACTCCAATTAAGATATATATGGATCCAACTCGATTTTAGATCACGGTGGATAAACAATTAATCGTCCCTTTTAGGATTAAACTAAATCACCTAACTCTAGAAATTAAGATTATTTTATCATGATTTGTAATAAGGGAAAGATTAGATATTGCTACCTTTGTAGGTCAACTGCATCTCACAAGAAATCAGTTGCACCTAGATTTTGAAATGACCAAAGTAGACATGCATGGGCGAACAAAGATTTTTTGAAAGCCAAGCAGCAAAGTCATATTATGCCAAGGGGGAAAACATATATGTACTCCCAAGTCAGTTTGGTGCTCGTTGTTTCTTTAATCCTCATGTACACAACAACATGTGTAAATGATACTAAGTGACCTTTCTTTTTGTATATGCATGCGTGCGTTACACTACATAGACATGTTGATAAACCTGAAGATCGATAATCGAAACAAGATCCTTCTAAGAAAAATGATCTGTAATCCTAGCTATTATCTTCTTTTTCATTGACCAATAAAGGGATGAATGTGAGCACATTAAATCAGGCTTCCTCAGAACGATCTTGGAGGAAATAATAGGGATGTATGACCGGATGACATGAGAATAGAGAGTCTTCACTTGTCTGAAGTCTAAACACGACGGATACTGGAGCCCTTTATTTATTAGTTCTCGTCTACAAGTACATAAAAGGGTACAAATAAAAGCAACACAAATCATATCGATCAAAACAAAGTGAAATAACATATTTTGGCCTCCAGAGCTTGAGAGATTGTATCGTGTAAATTAAGTCTAAGGCTGTCCTTCACCAAATCCAGATCCGCTGCCATTGCCGCCACCGCTCCCACCATTGCTACCACCTCCCATGCCATTACCATTGCCTTTAGCATCGGCTTCTGCACGCGCTGGAGTGGCCGAGAACACGTTGCCAGAATTTGCTACGCTGGAGCCGTACCCTTCGCCACCACCGACACCATAGCCATGAGAGCCCACATCTGCCGAACCTTGTCCGCCACCGCCGCCGCGACCACTGCCCCCGGTACTAGTAGACCCACCGTAACCGTAACGTGATTGCGAGCTAGAACTAGAGCCAGATCCACTGCCATACCCAGCACCAGACCCATAACCACCAGGCTGCGACCAAGAACTGCCTCTGCCTCCACCCCCACCGCTCGCATGGACTCCAACCCCGTCACTCTCACCGGATCCAGAGCCAACTCCGGATCCAGAGCCACCAGCGTTCTGATACCCATCACCATTGCCCCCTCCGGCTCCTCTTCCTTGAGAAGTGGAGTATCTAGCCACCCTAATGGCGTTGGCTGATCCAACGCTCAAGAGAACAAAGAGGCTAAGTGCTAGTACAAGTTTGGTGCTAGCCATTGTGATGAGCTTAGCAAAGCCTAACGAGCAGTCAAGCACTACACGCTGATGAGCCAAGGATTGCATGGGTATTTATAGCGTTGTTGAAGATATTGATGAAGATCTGACTTCTAACCCAAGCTCTAGTGGTCATTATATTTTGATCGAGTGCATCGAAGCTTGTAGTAGACTGCATCACTGGCGATGACTTTCTATCAGTTACTTAAAGTTCTTCTAGGCTTGACGTCCCTTGTTGTTTTACGCGGGCTACACAGAGACTAGAAAAGCATTCCAGTATCAGTGATGGTGAAGGGAACCATCATCAGTGTCAGTGTGGGTACGTGACTAAGAGAAATGGGGTGAATTAGGTTATTAAAAACTTTTCTAGACTAGAGTTGCAACTTGATCTGCACCAGATAAATAAAATAATAACTATCTAACTAACAAGTACACAAGAGTGATGGCACCACCGTACCTCGCCAGGTTCGGCTCAAGATCTTGCAGCTCGAGGCTCGTCGGCACTAATGTCCGAGTAGGATCGACGGCGGTGTGCCGGCATAGATATATAAAGGCATAAACACGAGGAATCTGCTGCGGCAGAAGTTCCACATTTGGAATTTTGGATGGTGCACTTTTGGATTTCCACTTGGATACACTACTATAGATTAGAAATGATTTTTAGCAACGAAGGCATTTTTGGTAGAGGTGCCTCAATCAAAATCCGCCTCTAAAATTTGTTTCTGAAGTAGCCCGCCTCTAGAAATTGTTGTAGAGGTGGATTTTTCTAAAGGCGTGTGGCAATTTGGCCCGCATGTGCAACACGTTAAAATTTATAACTTTTTAAACAAAGTCAGATGAAAACAAACTTTATATCAAAGTTATATATCTCAAAGAGATATACAACTTTATAGTTCACAAACTTTCATTTGCGATACTGTAAATTTTGTTTGAAGTTCTCATATTTAAAATTCAAAATTTTCAAATTTTCAAATAACCTTAGATGGAGAAATGACCAAAACAAAATTTATAGGTCTCAAAAGTCTCTAAAAAATTGCAGTTGATAACTTTTTTATTTGAAATAAGAGTTAAATGCATCATTGTGCCATTAACTTTTGCCCATATTTCGTCTAAAAAAACTTTTGCCTATGTTTTACTTAGGTCCATCAAATATGAAAGTGGTTTTTGAGTTCCATTAACTTTTTATGTGTTGCATCTCTAGTCCATACCGCTTCGTTTCTATTTTTGATCTGACGTGGCTCTAAGAAAAGTTTGTTCTAAGTCAAACTAACCTAAATTTGACCAGGTTAGTATAGAAGAATGTTTACATGTACCACATCAAGGAGGCAAATTGTGAAACTATATTTCATAATGTATTAATGATGCTAACTTGTTGTCATAACTATGATTGTTATCTTATATGAATTTGGTCAAACTTATGATAGTTCGGCTTAGAACAATTTTAAATCATTTTTCAAGGTGGATGAGTATATTATTTATCAATAGTAATACAATTATTGTGTTGTGAAACCATTCTCAGTTATAGATTTAGGACATATAGAGAACCTTAATACTTATAAAGTACCAATGACAAAAAAAGGTTTGTTTGAAAGCACGGTTGAATGACTTATTCTTTTTTTCAAAATCAGAGCATTTCCTTATTTGACATAGGGGCGAAGGTATATAATGCACCTCCTAAAAATATAGAAACAATGATTATATCTAAAATTCCACCATATATGCATCGTTATGACACATGTCTATGCATACATAAGGTAAACACACGTCATCTGATTTGCTCTAGCTTCGTCACTGATTTGGCAGTTTAGGCTTTTGGCACTGAGTATATAAAGTATATACTAGAAGATTAAAATAACAAACCCAAGCTTAAAATTGAATGATACAGTCACATCTGAGATTGAGAGTGGATAAGTTGGTAAAATCCCAAAGCTTCACTTTTATTTAGGAGTACAAAGTAAGAAAAAATCAGCAAGATATTGTATGATATCTAACTTTACCCAAAACCTTAGAAGCAATGCCGTGAAAAGCACCGCATTGACCCATCAGGGCTACTGATCCGCGAACATAACAGGTAATCCCGCAACTTTCCTAATTTGGGAAGAAAATATTTCCACAACCTTTTTATTTTCGGAAGTTACAAAGTTATACACATAACTTTTGTGCATAATATTTTATTGGACATAACTTATAATCACAATTTTGTCAAGATACTTTTTAATAATTTTTAGACAACTTATCATGATAATTTTTCTATGTAATCTTTGAAATCCAACTTTTGTGCATAACTATCAATCGAAAAAATTGTTCGTGACAATTTTTCAACATAGTTTTTATAGCATGACTTATACACATAAGTTATTGTTGTCTAACATCTTTCGAAAAAAATATACACAACTTATCAAGCACAATTTGTCTATGTAATTTGCTTGGAGCAAATTTCTCATATAGAAGAAAATTGGATAGATTAAGACAAAAAGTAAAAAAAGGAAAGAAAAAATTAAAGGAGAAAAAAGAAGTGAGAAAATAAAATATGACAGAGAAAACAAAGAAAAATGATGAAAGGAAAAAAGGGATGAAAGTGAATAGACGTGAGTTCGTGATCATGACCATAGTGTCGGTGTTTCGAATCACCGGCCAGTAAATTTCTAGTTTGCACGTCTGACCCGGATGGTTGTGCTCGGAGGACACAAGGATTTATACTGGTTTGGGCGGAACGTCCCTACGTTCAGTCTGCTGCTGCTCGTGTTACCGGCACTTGGTTTGTAGTAGGGGTTACAAACAGGCGAGCGAGGAAGAAGGTCCCAAGTCTCTGGTGAAAAGAGTGAGTCTGGTTGAGCTCTCTGTCTACTGCCGAGTGCTTAAGCCTTCCGCCACTCAGACGTGTTAGATGTGTCTTAGAATGCCCTCCCCGTGGGGTGCCCTGCTTTCCCCTTTTATGGATGAAGGGGGAGATGCAGGTTACATCGGAGAGAGAGAGACAAGGAGAGGAAGGCTACCGGGATTGCAACGTCTTCCATCTCCTTTACGCGGGTCCCGCCGACCCTGTAGATGACGACGGGGATGGATCCTCGTCGTGGCCCTGTTCGTCACTAGCACCGTACGCGGGCGTCGTCAGCTGGTCGTGGCACTCCATCCTGTCCCAGCGGATGGTATGGCTCGCTGACGCCTCCGCTAGAGGCCGTACGGGAAGTAGGTAGCACAGCGCACACGCCTGATACTGTTGGCAATGTGCGTCCTCAGACGTGGCCCATCGTGGCCGCGGGTCACGTCAAGACGCGCCTGCACCCCTTTTGGCATCAGAAGTTTGACCCCAGACTCGTACTTTTAGACCCATAGTGGTTGGGGCGGTATGGACCTTTGTCGGGCAAGGGGGAGCCCGTGCCCTCGGGGTCGGGTGAGGCAGAGCCCGTGCTCTCGGGATCGGACGAGGCAGAGTCTGCGCCGTTGGGGTCGGACGTAATGAGGCTCTCGCCCGAGGGGTCAGGCGTGACGGGGCTCTCGCCCGAGGGGTCGGGCGAGATGGAGCCCGCGCCCTTGGGGTCGGGTGACCCAAATCTCGTATCCTTGAGGTCAGGCGAGATGGAGCCCATTCCCTCGGGGCTGGGCGAGACCAAGAAACGCCCTTGACCATCCGAGGGTGTTAGCGTTTGTGGCCATTTGCTTCCTTCTTCTGGGTATCCCTAATACTGATACCCAACAGTAGCCCTCGAGCCTGCAAAGGAGTAGGATACTCCTTCGAAGGCTTTTTCGGAAGGATTCTAGGGATCTTGATCTCCCTTCGCGGACCGCGGGATGTCTTGGTATGGTCGAGATTCCTTTATGTCATTTTTGGACTCCTCAGGAGCATGTAGCTACACGATTTGGGGGATTAGAGAAGATATCTTTTGATTTTGATTCCTCCCTAGGATCCGACCGATCCACCATTGTTATGCGACCGCGTATTCGGTCTCCTTGTGAGTTCAACCCTCGAGCCCCCACGCGCAGCTAGGGTTTGGTCGAGGGGTCAGCTCATCTTAAGGTCGTCCTCCCTCAAGCGTTTTTTTCAATAAAACGGAGGGGTTGAGCCGTGCCATGTTTTCCTCGATGGACGAACTATGGTGCTTGGTGAGTTGTTAACGGACAAGTTCGAGTGGGGCCCTGGCTTCCCGTTCATGGGGGCCCAGCATGGGTCAGCTGGTGACCAACTCCAGGTTCTTGACAGCCAGTCCATATAGTTCTCGGGTCTGTTCGACCGGTCCTGAGGGCTCGTTGCCTTTCTTCGAGGAAAAACCATGGATCGTGCTCTGTCAGGACTTGAACTTGGGCCAGAATGCCTGTGACACTCGTGCGCCCAGGTACTGGCCGCTAGCAGGCCCATCCCATTCCACCCCTCGCTCTAAAGGTGCCCCAAAGCGATTGTGAACCCATCGGTGGGCCAACATTTGAACTCCTAGGCCTTAATGGGCCGTGGAAGCGTTTTCAGCTCTGTATCCCTACTTACCTGCGGTAGTTTTCAGCCCATCAATGGGGCAAATCGTTGTCCGGCGTGCCCTTCGAGGAGCGGCCTAGGGTGGCATGTGCACGATTCCTGAAGGGGCAAAGTGCCGGGGCGTGCCAGGCGCGTCGATCTAGGCAGACAGTTCGCCTCCCATCTCACCATGCCTTATAAATAGCAGGCTCCTCCTCCATGTTTTGGCATGCCAAATTGCAATCTTGCCTTCCCCGCCTTTCGGCCTCCGTCATTCGGATTTGCTGCCTCTGTGAGTCTGCCACCAGTGCCCCAGATCCATAGCTCTCGGTTCTCCACCATCACCAAAAAGTCCTCGCTTCTCCGTCTTCGCTTTCCATGGAGTTGTGGTACCGCTCTGGCATCACCCACGCATGCATGGAAGGCCTCGTCAAGCTCGATCATCTTCACGAGAGGTCTGACGCGATGGAGTGGCTGGGTCCCGACCACAAGGAGGTGTCGATGTCGCCCGACGGTTACATCTTCTCCTTCACGCCCTTCCACGAGCGCGGGCTCG